ACAGGTCTGAGGAATGGTAAGCCCTGGCATGGAGAGAAAGAGGGGGGTGAGGCTGGGAAGCCAGCAGTGCCTGGATCATGAAGGGCATCATGGGCCATGCAAAGGGTTTAGACATTGTTTTACCTCAGAGTGCTGGGGAGCCACAGAAGGTTATAGGGAGTATGAACTAAAATAAAATCTTACTCCTCCCTCCTCAGTGACTGATTGACTGGACCCCCTCTTGGCCAAGAGGATCCCAGGCTGAGTTGCTGGCCAAGAGAAAGGAGATCAGATATGCCTCATCATGCCCCCTACCCCCTCTTAGAGACGTCCTCTGTGACTCATTAACAGGCCTAAGGCTACCCAAGACATACCTGCAGGTCCTTAATATACATAACAAACCACCAGAGTCAGTTGGATACTTTTTCTCCAATTAACAGAAATTATATCTTGAGCATTCCTTTTCACTGACTCCAAGTCTTTTTTTTTTTTTTTTTGAGACAGAGCCTCAAGCTATCACCCTGAGTAGAGTCCTATAACCTCGAAGCTCACAGCAACCTCTAGCTCCTGGGCTTAAGCGATTCTCTTGCCTCAGTCTCCCAAGTATCTGGGATTACAGGCGCCCACCACAATGCCTGGCTATTTTTTGGTTGTAGTTGTCATTGTTTGGCAGGCCCAGGCTGAATTTGAACCCGCCAGCTCTGGTGTATGTGGCTAGCGCCTCAGCCTCTTGAGCTACAGGTGCCAATCCATCTGTCTTGGCCTCCCAAAGTTGCTAGGATTACATATGTGAGCCACTGTGCCTGGCTGACTCCTAGTCTTTTATTATTTATTCAGACAGAGTCTCACTATGCCACCCTTGGTCGAGTGCTGTGGAGTTACAGCTCGTAGCAACCTCCTACTCTTGGGTTCATGTGATTTTCTTGCCTCAGCCTCCCAAGTAGCTGGGACTACAGGCACCTAGCAAAACGTCCAGCCATTTTTTGTTATAGCTGTCATTGTTGTTTAGCTGGCTCAGGCCGGGTTCGAACCCGCCAACTGTATGTATGTGGCTGGCACCGTAACAACTGTGCTTCGGGTGCCGAGCTGACTCCTAGTCCTTTTTTTTTTTTCTTCCCGACTCCTACTCTTTTAAACAGAGCCTAACTCTTTCAGCAAATTGTCAGCTAAAGAACTTTAGATCTGGGCAGCGCCTGTGGCTCAGAGGAGTAAGGAGTTGGCCCCATATACAGGCGGTGGTGGGTTCAAACTGGGCCCTGGCCAAATACTGCAAAAAAAAAAAAAAAGAACTTTAGATCCACCCATAATCTGTAAGCCCACACCACCACATGTCCCACCTTTTTGAGCCAAACCAACGTATGTTTTCAGCATAGTGGTTTATTACCTCACCTATAATCCCTGTCTCCCTAAAATATATAAAACCAAACTGTAACCCCATCACCTCCAGTCCACTTGCTCAAGGCTTCTTGGGTATGTCTCCAGGTCATAGTCTTTAAACTTGGCTCAGAATAAAGCTCCTTAAATTATTTTCCAGAGTATGGCCTTTCCATCCATAGGAGGGTGAGTACTGAGGCCAGATTTAGGCTGTAGGGAAGATCACTGTAGCACTGGAGTTGAGGATGGATATGAGGGTGCTCACCTCACACTCAGGACCCTGGTAGAAGTGTCAGGGGAGCACACCAAGGGGAGGGACTTGCTAGGAGAGCTGTCAGGGAGGCAGCCTTTTCCACACAGCCATCCCCTTCAGAAACTGCCAGCGCTAAAGAGGGAGGAAGATATGGTCTAAGAGTGACTCACATCTGGAGGCCATACCCGGACCCCCACCCTGCCCTACCCTACCTCCATGGCCCCCTCCAACACCCACCTCCCAGGCCACCTGCCTCCAAGATGACTGAAGCCCACCCTGGTAAAGAATGAGAGGGGGTGGCTTGGCGCCTGTGGCTCAAGTGGCTAAGGCGCCAGCCACATACACCTAAGGTGGTGGGTTCGAATCCAGCCCAGGCCCACCAAACAACCATGACAGCTGCAACCAAAAAAATAGCCGGGCATTGTGGTAGGCGGTGGTGCCACAGCACTCTACCCAGGGGGACAGCTTGAGGCTATGTCTCAAAAAAAAAAAAAAAAAAAGAGGGGAGCCTGCAAGGCTGCAGGCAGACCCAGAGAGGGGGCTGTGAGCTCCTTACCCCTCCTTCTAGACCAAGCAGCTACCTAGGAAACCAACCACAGCAGTTTCATGTTTTCCTCTAGGGCCTCCCCCAAACCTCAATCATAGGAAGGGGCAGGTGGGACCCCAGTGGGGCCCAGCCTAGCTCCATGGCCTTTCCCCTGAGCTTTCCTTATCTACACTGAGGACTAGAAGTGCTGCAGGAGTTTTCCCTGCAGGACTGCCATGGGGCAGGTAGCGCTGGCTGTCCCAGCCCAGGAGTTGGGCTCTCAGGGCCTCAGGAGCTGCTCCTACATCCTTCCCCCAACCTGGAAATGGGCCTGGCACAGGGAGTGTTTGCCATTGGATGGAGGGACTACTTACTTCCTCTCCAGGGTCTGGCCTGCCTAGATATGGCAGAGTGGCAGCATGGCTTGGTGAAAGGTCCTCAAAAAGGCTATGCTCGGCTCAGTGCCCTTAGCATAGTAGTTATGGTGCCAGCCATATACACCGAGGCTGGCAGGTTCGAACCTGGCCTGGGCCAGCTAAAGAACAATGACAGTTACAAAAAAAATAGCCAGGCCTTGTGGCAGGTGCCTGTAGATCCAGCTACTTGGGAGGCTGAGGCAAGAGAATCGCTTAAGCCCAAGAGTTGGAGGTTGCTGTGAGCTGTGATGCTACAGCTCTCTACTGAGGGCGACATAGTGAGATTCTGTTTAAAAAAAAAAAAATGGGTATGTTCTTCTACAGTATCCTACTAACTCACTTCTCCCTGTCTGCCTCAGTCTTCCCATCTGTAATTTGGAAAGACCTCCTGCTCTGCACAAGGCTGATACGGGGTGGAACGCAGGTCTCTTGTACTACATAGATGATTTTGTGTGTGTGTGTGTGTCAGAGTCTTACTCTGTCCCCCAGACTAGAGTGCAGTAGCATCACAGCTCACAGCAATGTCAAACTCCAGGGCTCAAGCCATCTTCTTGCTTCAGCCTACTATGTAACTCGGACTACAGGTGCCCACAGAGTCTGGGTAGATTTCTATATTTTTAGTAGAGATAGGATCTCACTCCTGCTCAGGCTGGTCTCCAACTCCTGAGCTCAAGGGATCCTCCTACCTCAGCCTCTAAGAATGCTAGGATTACAGGGTTGAGCCAGGACACCTGGCCAGATGATTATTTTTTTTCATGGAGGCTCCCTCTTGTCTCTTCCCAGGCCAAGTTATCTTCCTAGGGTCCTGGCAGTACCTCTGGAAGGTTGCTGTCTCACCTCCTATTGGCTGCCAACTTGCCTTGGCTGGGATAGGGAGTCTCTCCAGATTCTAGTGTCCTCTGTAATAGGAACTTTGATTTGGGGGCAGGCAAGAAGGTGCATCACGCTCTCCCCTCCACATCCTCAGGGCCTCCTAGTGGTGGCGCCCACTTATCTGCCAGGCCTGGTGCCTGGCGCCTTGCTTTCATA